CTTAGGTAAGGGGTTTTACTGATGTATTCCCTTCCTTAGTCTTGTTAATCCCTAACTCCAGGGAAAACCCCCACCTGGGGAAATAACCTTTTTCGGAGAGGTGACCTTGGTTAAAACACATAGCACTAAGAAGGGGAGCAAACATATTAAGAACAGTATGCCATATATGCCAGGTACCTTGAAACAGCAAGGATGGACTGGCTCCCGCCAAAGAACTAAAACCTATCCTACTAATACTATTCCAAAAATAAAAAATCAAGAGGAAGGCACACTTTCAACCTCTTTCTTTGAAGCCAGAATTACCCTAATCCCAAAACCAAATAAAGACACCACAAAAAAAGAGAACTACAGGCCAATATCCTTGATGAACATAAATGCTAAAATCTTCAACATAATTCTAGCAAATCAGATTCAGCAATACATTTTAACAGTCATACTCCATGACCAAGCGGGGTTTATTCCAGGGATGCAAGGATGATACAATATCCACAAATCAATAAATGTGATACATAACATAAACAAACTGAGAGACAAAAATCACATAATAATATCAATCAAAGCAGAAAAAGCATTTGACAAAATCCAGCACCCTTTCTTGATAAAAACTCTCAGCAAAGTGGAAATAGAGGGATCATACCTTAATATAATAAAAGCCCTATATGAAAAAACTACAGCTAACATTATACTTAATGGGAAAAAACTAAACTCATTTCCCCTAAGAAGTGGAACAAGACAGGGATGCCCACTTTCACCACTCCTGTTTGACATAATGCCGGTAGTGCTAGCCATAGTGATCAGATAAGAAGAAGAAATAAAAGGCATCCAAATTGGAAAAGAAGAAATAAAACTGTCTGTATTCACAGATGACATGCTACTATAAATAGAAAACCCCAAACACTCCATCAAAAAATTTCTAGACTTAATAAATGAATTTGGCAATGTAGCAGGACACAAAATCAACATCCAGAAATCTGTGGCCTTTTTATATACCAACTTGAGGCCCAGTGCACAAATATTTGTGCACTCGTGGGGGGAGGAGGGGTCCTTCAGCCCGGCCTGTGCCCTCTCGCAGTCTGGGACCCCTTGGGAGATAACAACCTGCTGGCTTAGGCCTGCTCCTGGGGGGCAGAGGGCAGGCCCAATCACTAGGTGCAGCCCCTGGTCGGGATCAGAGCAGGGCCAATTGGGGATTTGGGGCACCCCCCTGTCACACTCAAGGCAGGGTCGATGGGGAGATTGCAGCACCACCCCGTCATCCACAGAGCAGGGCTGATCAAGGGGTTGGGGTGCCGCCACTGTCACACTCAGGGCAGGGCCGATGGGGAGGTTATGGCTCTACCCTGTCACATACAGAGCAGGGCACGTGGGGGTGAGGGGTTTGGGGCACCACACCCTGCCACCCACAGAACAGGGACAATCAGGGGGTTGGGGCTCTGCACCCTATCACACATAGAGCCTCAGGGCGATCAGGGGGTTGGGGAGCTCCCTCCTATCAGGCACAGAGCAGGGCGGATCGGGGGGTTTGGGCACCTTCCTCTGTCATGAACAGAGCTGCAGATAGGAAGGTTGTGGCCCCGCATCCTGTCACACACAGAGCCACAGGGTGATCAGGGGGTTTGCATGCTGCCCCCTGTCATGCTGATCCAGGGGCCAGGAGGCCTCGCGGCTCTGCTGATCCCGGTGT